TGGTGGCGGGAGGGGCGATAGTTGAGTGCACCCTCTGGCCAGGAGACAGGCAACTTGCCTATAGAATGCCTTAGCTGGATGGAGAGAAAATAGCTATAACTTTGAATATATATCAAAACTGTGACCATTACATGGAGTTGGGCATTTTCATATATTGAATTAAAACTGTTTTGTGACAAAACAATCACTATATTTTACTATCTAAGAGTAATCAGCAAGGTCATATTATTTTTTGAAATTTTATCCAAAGGAAGGACAAGCCTTTCTTCCATTGATGACATTTTAAAGAAATAGTTGAACACAAATGATTCTATCCCAATGAATCTTCAGAGTGGGGGGTGTGTGTGTGTGTGTGATTTAAACATTCAGTTATAAACCAGTTAGTGTCTGAGCACATTTGGTGATAAGAAACTACTTTTCCCCTGAAAGAACTCAACCTATTGTTTCATTTTAATACTTCCAAAAAATGTATTTATATGTTAGTCTAATGTAATTAAAATTTATCTAAAGTAATGTGAAGTTAAGTTTAAAATTATCTAAAATCTTTAAATAATTATAAGAAATTATTTTATATTATCTTCAAAATACCATTTTTTAAAAATTAATAGTTCTTTTTTGGTACATTCCTGAACTGTACACATAAGAATTGTTCTCTGTTCCATATAACAGTATAACTAACATGTTTAGTCATACTCTTCTCTGTCCAAGATCAGTGCTCTTAATCTACTCAATGAATCATTGTACAATATTGTTTTCTAACCCACTCATTATTCTGATCTTTTTTAGTTTTAAGATTCCCCAGTCCATTGAAACCATGAACTCAAGGATATTCTGAATAATGATAGTCTTTGAGTCTGAAGGTGGTTTTAGCCTCTTTCTGGCAAATGCTTTCATTGTTGTTCTTTCATCTTGAGATTATATTTCTGTTATTTTAGCCTTTCATTTCATGATGAGGCTCGTTCTACAGGAAAGGGGCCTGAAATAATTGACATTTGTTCAACTTGAACCATGTTGGACATGGTAGTAAAACAGAGAACCACAGTTTATGAACTAAATGTTACAGAATAGAAGACAATTGTTGATACTTATAATTATAACTAATAGTTGGGGAGGATAAACAATGATTTTAAAGAACCTGGTCGGCATACAGTTTTTCATTGAAGAGCTTAACTAGCCTTAAACCCAACAGACTGGCTGAGGCCCAAATAACAAATCAGATATGAGTGAGAGATCTCCACCCCATGGGCTTCAAAAGTCATATTGTCCTCCTTGCTCTTATAAAGGAGCATGGCCGAGGTTCCTGAAGCATCAAGAGACTCCATGGGTTCTGCCAAGATGCTTCTGCTCTTGCTCTCGATGGCCTTGCTGGCCCTGAGCTCAGCTCAGGACATCAGTAATGGTAAGAGGGGGAAATAGAGATCATACAAGGAATGATGGGGTTAAAACTAATGGAATAGAGTGGAGTTGAATTGACCCTTCTCAGAAATTAAGTACTTTATTTTCAGAGAGTAGGTCAATAAAGGAGGAGATAAAATTAGTTTCTATTTTCTACTGATTGCAAATATCTCCCTGAATATCTGGGCCCAAGTCCCAAGTAGTATCTTCACGGTGTGACGTCTGTTGCTTTTAGATATGTGTTCATTCAATTATTCATTCTGTGTGGAACAGGTCATCTAAATTGAGTAAAAATTCTATCATTCATTCAGATACATCATTTTCGTATATCAACCCTTAAACATTTAGAAATGAGAATTTTGATTAAATTTTCATTTATTTCATCAGCATTTTGACACAAAGTAGGCACTATGAATTTTTCTTTTCATTACATTACTTATTCTTTTAAAATAAGTATAGGTCTGATCATGTAACTACTTGGCAGGCATGCATTTATAGTAAATCTAAGACTTCCTGAAATGGGTAATTTCAATTAATGATGGAGGAATTTATATATAATAAAAGAGGAAGGCTAAGTCTTTGTTAGTCTGTGGCTTTTTAAAGAGAACACACATGGCATATCTTAATGTTACCAAAATCCAGATAATTGTTTAAATGATTGCAAACATTAGGTACCAGATTTCTTGTAAGACAAATAATTGAAAGTTGAAATAAGATTTTATTTTCTTATGAAATGTTATTTCATTATATGGAAGCATCCTAAGTCAAGAAAATAAAAATATTAAACAAATACATAAGGACACATATATAATATTTTAACCAGTAAAGAAAAAAATTCTAACAGATTATTTGAATTTTAAACCTGTTCTCATAACTGAGATAAAGTGGCTGCTCATGGGCAATGTACTTTTAAAATGGTAATTTTGGATTTTTCTGAAAGATGTATAAGCCTTAATAAGCATCTATAAAAGGGTATCTATCTATATCTATCTATATCTATATATATATAAAAGCCTAAGCAACCAAATGACTGATCGACTGGTGAACTGGTCACTATGACACACACTGACCACCAGGGAGCAGACGCTCAACATGGGAGCTGCTTCCTGGTGGTCAGTGCGTTCCCACAGTAGGAGTGCCACTCAGTGACCAACCTGTCCCAGGGGCCCACCAGCCCAGTGGCAGCCACTCACTCCCGCAGTAGACCTACAGGTCCAACCTCTGGAGAATGGGCCAGGCACTGACAGACTGGTGCTGCCAGCATAATCCCAACCGCACCGCAGGCCTCCTGGAAGTTAGCCTTGGGCACTGCAGCTGCTTCCCCTCCCTAGATGCTCTGCAAGGAAGAAACAATATAATAGTAGCTGCCAGGTGGCTCCTGACAACCAGCTTGAATGTCAGCGGGCCACAATGGATTCCAGACCTACAAGGGCATCCTACTGCCCACCTGGAGGGCCAATTGCATCCTGGCCCATCCTCACCCACCTCCGGACGGGTGTCAGATGCAGGGCTCACATCTGGCAAGTGCTGCTGTGGCAGCGTGAGCCTCTCCCAATCAGGACTGACTGGGCACCAGCCCGCAGCTCAGAGGGCCAGGATGAGCGGGAGCAGCAGGCATGAGTGGCAGGTGGTGTTGGAATGCTGGTTTCCACTCAATCCTTGCAGGCCACGCTAGGGGACCGCACCCATGCACGGATTCATGCACTGGGCCTCTAGTTTTATAATAAAATCATCTGAGCCTTAAACTCTACACTTTGTGATAATTTGGATATTAGATGTAGAATAACAGTAAAATTCTTGGGAAATATTTCTTCTTTAAGTATGTATTGAGAATTTTATGCATGGGAAGTTTATGCATGATCTCACACACATATCATGCCATTGATTATTCACTACAACAATTCAAAGTAGATATTACCCATACTTCATATTCGAACCATAACCTTAGAGTTTAAATACTTTGAAGAGCTTACATAATTAGCAAGAGTTTGGGAGTGAAGGGTTCTGAGTCTTGGCACATAAGCAATTGATGCCATTAAAAAATTGGACAGATTAATGTTTGTTTAAATGGGTTTTGGGTAAGTTCCTGAAGTAACCAATAATTATTTGAAAAATTTATCTTTTGGAGGCAAGAATTTTCTGGAATAAAGACATGGTAATACAGACAAATAAGCTATGTGGCTACAGATGGTTTCAATTCTCAAATTTTCTCTGTTGCAAAATGTCTCATAATATGTATTTTGTCTACAGCCATTGTTGCTCTCCATCTTATTATATATAATACAGAATTAGTAAAAAAAATAATGACAAATGCCTAAATTTTAGTGGTCCTCAGTCTTATTGTTAGATATGGCCCATTTCCTTCCTTTTCACATTGGAATCTTCTGTGTCAGAGACCTAGTGTCTAAAGATCAACAGAACGTGCCACCCTACACAAATGTTTTCTATAAATCCTATAGACAAAGTCAAATGATTGAATAATACAGATCCCTTACATTTTAAGGGTGTTGTCTCCATTGACATTTAACTAATTTAAGTTATAAAAATACCATGTAAGCATAAAAATATTATGCAATTTGACTAAAGCACTTAAATTATTCAATCAGTAAGTTTACTATTGCAACTTACTCATTTACAGTACTAATGCTTCATTCTTCTGTTATCTAAGCTTTGACATCTTTTTAAATGATAAGATGCCTCAAAGTAGATAAAACTTAAAGCCATTATTAACTGAAAACACTTCAATGAAAAATTTGAAGACAATTTTAGTGACATGGGTAGGAGTGTGTATAGGAGGGAGGATATAAGAAAAGACCAGAGTGCATGAGAGAGCTAATGAATTTTAAGTTATGTCACCAAAGAGTTGCAGGATTCAGTAAATGAATCAATCAAAAATTTGCTTGCTTAAAGAAAACCTTTACATACTTAATGATTTTCTTCAGTTCCTGACTTGTCAATGATCCTCCCATTAAGGTTATGATATCATTTTATACTTTATTCCTTCGTTTGTTCTTTCTTTGCAGAAGGCCCTCAAAACCAAGAGGAAGAAACCCAACCATTAGGTGAGTTATTTTGTTCTTTTGTGTGTGTGTGTGTGGGGGGGGGGGAGTGAGTTATTTTGAAATCAATCAACTTACTTACAATTTTTCTAAATAGATTCTAGGAACCTCTGGGTCACTGGTGTAATCCAAAATTTATATGATTTTTACTTTAATTTGTGCTTAACTTTCAAAGATTTTCTTCCTCAACCATTTCACTATATAATTTTATCTTCTTAGTATATTGCAGAATGAGCATAAAAGACAAAAAAAATTAATGGCTTGCTTTAGATCTATAAATTCTCTCAGGTCTAGAAAATATGGTCATTGCTTTACTTCTGATTTTTTCTTGCCTGTTACCTGGCCTTGTAAGGGCATGGCTATAAGGAGTCCTGAAAAAAAATGCTTTGATTATCTACATTGTCTATGCCAACAATAATTCAATAAAATTTAATACTTAATAACCATGGCAGGGTCCTATTCTTGGTACTAAGAATGCATAGGTAGCATTGTTCCTGTCCTTAAGGAACTCAGGATGTAATGGAAGATTCCACTTTTAGACATAATGATGATCACCTTCAGAAAAGTGGCAAAAGGAGGCATTACGGCAGCTCAGAGAAAGGGAGAAAAGGGAAGGCCTCCCGCAGGAGATGCCATGTGATCTGGACCTTGGAGAGTCGGGTATGAGGGGAAGCAAAGTTAAAGGGGAAGCATGGCTAAATCTGTGCATATAACACAGCATTTCAGTGGTCTAGGAACACAGAATAACCCAGTAAGGTTGAAGTGAATATAGGAAGATAAAGCTAGAGATGTGGCTTAGTTCCAGATTACAAAAGATGCCATGAATGGCAAACTGAATTTGTAATTTATCCTATGGGCCACAGAGAGATTTTTGAATAGGGGCGTCACACAGAAATTGATTTGTTGATCTGAAAACAATGAAGAATAGCAACTTGAAAGCCCAAACTGTGTCTTTTAAGCTCAGAGTCTTAGTGTCTGATGTAATGGGCATGCAATAAAGTATACAGTGAATCACAAGAGAATGATTGTAAGAGTGATGACCATAGCAGATTGGTAGTTGCAGAATAGCCACAGGATATAAAGTACACCATAAGGAATATAGTCAAGAATATTGTAATAACTGTGTATGATGCCACGTGGGTACTGGAAATATTGGGGGAACACTTTGCAAAGTATGTGACTGTCTAACTACTATGCTGTACACCTGAAACTAATATAAAATAACATTGGATGTAAAAAATAAATAAATGTACGGTTGATTAAAAAAAGAGTGATGACCACGAGAGCATGAAGAAATGATTGAAAGTTAATATAACACATGGTGAGGGCTGGGATTCAATTGTAGAGATACCAGGAATTATCAAAAGGATAAAATATAGGGTGGGCTTTGTGTATACCTTCTGTTGGTCTAAAGACTTAACAGTTGATAGAAGAGAGGGGAGAGTGGGTGTTATATGATTCCTCTGCTATCGGGAAGGGCAGGGTAACTGATAATTTCCTCTGTTCAATAGATTTGTGCCAAGATGTCATGCATAGCTATAGATAGACACAGTGACTCCATCTGGCGGTTTCTCAGACATCGTGAGTTATCTAGTGGTTTATAGATGAATTCATGTGTATCACAGCAAGGTTAGGCTATGGCCATATAGAATAGCGGCCAAAACATCAAAAGAGGGGAGAATAACTAGTGATGGGGTGAACAAGAGGTGCTAAGCTAACAAGTACATGCCCTCTAAAGAGGCCAGGATTTCTCTGCCCCTTGTAGGCGCTGGACCCTAGTACCATTTAAACCTGTATTATATTACTTCTAACTAAATCTAGGCTACAGTAGATTCCTTACTTGCCTCATTTAAGTTTATGGCTAACCTTCCTCTTTCCTTGTTTCTTTCTGAATATATTCTCTCTCTTAAGAAGACCATAAAATTGTTGAAGAACCCCCAGAGGGATCGCAAGAAGAACATGGAGGTCAGCATGAAAAAAGAGACCATGGTCACCATCATTGGCCTCAAAGCCATAATGTCCAGGGAGACCAGGAAAGCTCACATAGCCAAGGTGGAAGAGGAGGTGGAAGAGGAGGCCAAGGTGGTCGAGGTGGCCAGAGAGGCCAAGATGGCCAGGGTAGCCGAGGTGGCAGAGGTGACCAGGGTGGCACTGGTGGCCAGGGTGGTCAGCGTGGAAGAGGTGGCCAGGGTAGTCAACGTGGTGGTCAATGACAAAGAAAACCAACTAGAGATGGCTTCCAGTGATTCCCTAAGTATTCATTGCATTTTTAGTCCCCAATCTAGTGAATTTCTTCTTAAATTTTTTAATTTTTTTCTTTTTGTTTCTAGTTACTTCTCTTGTTTTAATTCTTGATTTTAATCACTCAAACTGTGTGTCCAAATTTGCCTTTGCCACGAAACTCCTTGCCTGAACCTTACACATAGAAAAATCTCCTTCATTCTTTTAAGAGCAAGTGTTACTTCTATCCTGAGCTTTTGTTTGACTCCTTTTTCTTATATTAACCTAAAATTTTCCAAGTCCTACTTCTCCTCCCCTCCACCTCTCTTCTCTCCTCCTTCCTGTTTCCCTCTCCTGGCTTCTTCCTCCCATCTCTACCTCCCCACTCCTCCTTCTTCTACTCTATTTTAACTTCATGTGTTGTCTTATAATGAGCCTACTTCATTACAGAAATACCAGTCATAGAGCATGCTCAGGCCAAGTGATTGTTGTGTCTAAAATCTTTTTCTGTTTCAGAATTGATAGAGATCGACTGGTGAACATGGACTTTTCAGTGGTATAAACATGGCCTTTTCTTTCTCCAACTTTAAATCATCAATAAAGTCATAAGCATTACACCCTGGCTCTTCTTTTTTATTTAAGGCCATGGTTCTCACTCAAGGGACAGTAAGGACAGGCTGGGAGGAAGATAGCTCTGACTGGACTCCAAATGTTCTGTATTGTGTAACTTGATAGGTAGCTCAGATTTCAATAATTGTGGAAGGATTTAACTACCACCATTATTCCAAAGCAAAAAAAAAAAAAAAATTTATTCTTGAGACCAGTAAGAGAGTTTTCCAACTCTACATTATCAATACACACATCTTTTCCTCAGCTCAAACACAGAGAAAAAGACCTTGTAAATTTCCTTGCTCTCTGACAGTCTTTCAGTGTATGTGTGCATATTATTACATTTCTGTTTACATAGGGGATTCAGGAGAGCCTCTAGGACCTATTTGCCCTCAGGATGCCCTATTGGAAATAGACTCATCATCCAACTGTCAACCAG